TCCGGTCAAGGGCATGTACCTGGGTTGTGGGCACATCCCCAGTAGGAGATGTGCAGGAGGCGGCTGATCGATGTTTCTAACTCTCTATCTCTCTCCCTTTCTCTGTAAAAAATCAATAAAATATATTTTTAAAAAAATCAATAAAATATATTTAAAAATAAATAAATAAATAAAATAAAAAATAAAATAGCTATAAAATATTTATTGAGGACATGCTATGTGCCAAGGTCTAATGGTATCAAAATTAATGCATATTCAGTCAATTGTGGGGAATAATTGGTCAAAGATTAAGAACACCCTTAAATACATATAGGCTTAATAAGTGGCTAACTATACAGAATAGTTTGAGGGGCCCTGGTCACCTCTGTGACTGCCCAATAAATTTCTAAATGGTCTGCCATGGTATGAGTAAACTCCTTTAAAAAGAAAATATCATCTGAAAGAGACTACATATTAGACCAATAGTTCATAATATGTATCTTGGCTACATATCAGATTAATCTGGGAGTCTTTCAAAAGATCAATACCTAAGCTCCATCCCCAGGGCTAGGTCAGGGCTAGAGCTCAAATATTAATATTTGTAAGAGGTTCTCGGGTGGTTCCATTGCATATCCAGGGGTGAGAACCACTATATTAGACCATTATCAGCCATGGAATGTGGGAGCTGGCAGGAGCCAGAGATTGTCTGGTCCAATGTTTCCCAAATTCTACTGAGCAATAAATTTACTTATGGCTCTTATTAAATATAGATCACTGGACCACATTCTGGATCTATTGGGACACTGTCTTCCAGAAGAAGTAGTAATCAAGTTTGAATATGATGAGGGTTTGGTAAGAAGCCGTACCATCCATGCACCCATGAGATGCCAAGTGACTGCTGTGGACACAGTACTATGTTCTGTGATGTAGGGGCTATAACACTGAAGATATGCTGGGGAAGAAGCTTTCACTATAGCTTTAGAGAGAAGATTATTTCAGTTGACTTGTCTTCTTCACAGTAGTTATGGTCTATAAAGTCACCTCAAAAACTAAACTAATGAATACTGAACAGTTGCCCCTAGGGGAAAAGTGTGTGTATGTCTCAGTTATATTATAATCTTTAATTCTAAAAGCAACTCATCCTGTAGTTTCTATTTTCTTTATTTTACCAGGAGAAAATGAGGTTCTGAAGTGTTAAGTGACTTACCTAAGGCCACCCCACTAACAGGGTTGAGAGTTGGGATTCAAACCCTATGCAACTGTCCCCAGAGCCCGAGCTTTTTGCACTACAGTGCACTGCCCCCTACCATCTTCATCCTCTGGGATACCTCTGTATGATAGCTGAAACAAGAAGACAGAGTATTGACTTGTTTGACCTCAGTTGGTAATGTGTAAATTGGGAGACTCAAATTTTTCATGCTCTGTGCATGTCTGCAAATGACTAGAAAAGTACTGTGAGTATTGATTTTGTGGTTAGAAATACATTTTAAGGAATAGGCAAATTTGCAAACACACTCTGTTAATAACAAAGATTAACTGTACATAAATTCAAGATTGACATTCAGTCAGGATGGACTGGTCTGACCACACCTACTGCTTTAAGCCTCCTGGGTGCCACCTGATCTCTCTCTTGGGACCTCTTTACAAATGATCAACCAAAGGGTTAACACCCAGCAGAGTTAGAAGACCTCCAACACTCTGCTCTTGTGGATGGCTTGCATTCTGATTAAATGTCCCCTTTGTACAGGCTGCTAATTGTTTTGACTATCACCTCTGTGTAGATGTGTTCCCCCACATTTATTCTCAAAGGGTTCAGAGAGCACAAGGCCAAGTACTAGCATTTAAGCTCTCGGAGAGTAGGAACTTTGTTTGTCCTGTGCACTGCTATATTTCCAGTCTGGAAGAGCACCTAGAATAGTAGGCATTCAGTAAATGTTTGAAGAATAAAAGAATGAATGAAGTAGAAACGCTCACTGAGGTTAATAAGGAACAGGTGTTTGGAAGACATGAGTCTTGTGCCAAACCTTAAAGGAAACACCCATCTATTAGAAGAGATGTGGAGTAATACAAGGACAGAAGTTGCAGGGCAGTAAGACATAAGAAATGCACAAGGAGGAGAAGGAAAGCAGCCTGACCATAGCAAAGAGACCATGGAATGGGACAGTGGGGGCATTAGAACTGGGTCACTGGGATAATACAGTTGGGACACAGATGCAGGGGAGTGTTTGGCTTTTCATTCTGAAGCAAAGTTTGAACACTAACTTAGTTCAGGTTGCTGCGATGGCTGAAACTTGGGTTTCCTTCATTCCTTCAACGAATGTTTATCAAGTGCCTACTCTATGCCAGGTGCTATTCCAGGCACTGGGGAATACAAGCAGTGAACAAAATACAGTCCCTACCCTTGTGGAGCTGACATTCAAATGAGGGATATAGACAAAAAATACATATAAATATAATATTTCACAGGAATGTAAAATGTTACTCTGGAAAATGGTCTGTTAGTTTCTTTAATAAACTAAACATACATTTAATATATGACCGAGCAATAGCACTTTGGAGCATTTTCCCCAGAGAAATGAAAGCTTACGTTCACAAAAAACCTGTACGTGAATGTTTATAGCAGCTCTATTCACACTAGCCCAAACCTGGAAATAACCCAGATGTCCTTCAATAGGTGGATTACTAAACAAACTGTGGTATATCCACACCATGGAATACTACTCAGCAGCAAAAGGAGAAAGACTATTGATATATGCAACAACTTGGATGAATCACAAGGGCATAATGCTGAATTAAAAAAAATCCCAAAAGGTTACATACTATATTATTCCATTTATATAATATTCTTGAAATGATGCAGTTACAGAAACTATAGAACAGATTAGTAGTTGACAAGGACTGAGGCATGAGGAGGAGGTAGCTATAGATATAAAAGGGCAACATGATGGGTCCTTTTAGTGACAGAACTGACCAGTATCTTGACTGCTTGGTGTATACATAAACCACACATGTGATAGACTGACACTGAACCATATACACACATTGTATTGATGTCCTGACTTTGACTTGGCATTGATATAGTACTGTAGATATGAAAGATGTAGACATTGGGAGAAACAGGCATAAGGGTACACAGGGATGTCTCTATTAGACTTTCAAATTCCTGTAAACTTACAATTATTTATTTTTACTGAATTTATTGGGGTGATATTGGTTAATAAAGTTATATAGGTTTCAGGTGTACAATTCTATAATACACCTGCATATTTTATTGTGTGTTCACCACCCAAATCGAGTCTCCTTATATCACTATTTATCCCCCTTATACCTTCTCCACAATTATTTCAAAATAGAAAAATTTAAAAACAAAGATTTCAGTTCTGATGAAAAAATTAGGCAGTATCAGGAGATAGTGACAGGTAGATGCTAGGGAAGTTGAGGAAGGCTTCTATAAGCTGGTGACATTTGAAGAGACCTAACAAAATAACTCACAGTGAATCTCTGATCAGATCAGTACTTGTAATGACACAACAAGCATGTGCTTAGGGAGAGAACTAGTAGCTATTTTCATGACAGAAGATTGGGGAGTGGGGACTGACTGTCCACTGCCCAATAGGCAACTACACATTCACAGTAAGGTGGGGAGGGAGAAGCCTATGGTAACATTCTCCAAGGGAGGGCAAGGCTTCCCTGCTTAGAGACAGAGGAGAATTGTGATTGACAAAGGCCTAGCTGCCAGGGAGCAAGCATGTCAGAGGGGGAAGGAGAGAGAAGGAAGGAGGGAGAGAATACGTGTGCATGAATGTATTGTGTGAGGTTCACACTGACACAGAAGAGCACTGGGGGCCAAGGGGAGAGGTGGTTAGTGCCAGAGTTTGAGTTGAACCCTATTCCCCTGACTCGCACCTGTGCACTGTTCTGGCTTTGCACAGAAATGTCATCTCTCTGGACAATCTTTCTTCCATCTTTGGCTAGGAAATCCTGCTGTCCTTCAAGATCTAGCTCAGGTGAATCCTACTTTGTGAACCTCCTGATTTCATGCTCCCCACCCCCAAGAGATGTGACCTCTCTGATGGCTACGGCATGGGTGTGGGACCTCAGTGCTCGTGTATAGGGGAGTGTTGAGGACACTTGGAAGGGACAACCAGACTGGAGGTGTAAGAAGGGCTCTGAGTTTTGCACACAAAAGTTTTACACCTGGATTTGTGCATTTGGGTTAAAATTACTATAAGGATGCAACCTCGTAATGGACACTAAGTCTTCTGAGTCCAATTCTTAAGGAGAGGAGCCTAGAGATTTTCATTTTTAATAAGTAGTCCTGCTGACTATATAATCAGGCAAGTTTGGGAAACATTGCTCTAGTCTAAACCCTCAATGTATGGATGAGGAAAGAGGTTCAGAAAAGGGAACTGACCTTTTAACTGGTCACAGCCAATTAGTGACTGAACTAGGACACAGCTCAACCTGTTTGTCAAACTGTCCCTCCTCAGCAACTTTACTAGTATGTTAAACTAGAGGCCCAGTGCACTGGGGTGGGGGTGTGGGGGGGAAGGTCCCTCAGCCGGGCCTGTGCCCTCCTGCAGTCTGGGAGCCCTAAATCCCCTCACCACAGTTTTGGGTCTCATACATTGTAGGCCATTTAGTAAATATCTGTATGAATTAATGAATAATATTAGCACTCACTGTCTACAAAGACTTTATGGGAGTTAAACACTGGACAGGTAAATTTTCATGGGGCACAGCAAAAAAGAGGTATAAAATATGTCTGGAACTGTGGCAATGGACAGCTTTAGTGGGCTAAAGCAGAGGGCACAGGGCAGAACATAGTAGAGTAATCCTCAAGCCTTGGATGTGAGAGCAGACAAGATGTTCAGAAGATATGTTTTAAGTTGGCTAAATCCTTGGCTCACAAAATGTTGGTCCTAGTTTCTTCTCCCATACTGTCTCCCATCACTATCACTTTCCAATATGGAGTCCTCACATCTCAGGAGGAAGGGTGGATGGCAAAGAGGCTCACTCACCTGATGAGTGTGCAGAACTGTAAGAACGATGAATTCCTTAGCGCTCCTACAGAGAGAAGAGGGAATAGGAGAGTAGTGTATCATGCACTAGGTATTCATCTAGCACAAGAAGCAACACCAGAATTTCCCCCTGGGCTGCATTCAGGTATATGGATTAGGACAGGGGGCTGCCTCCACCTCCCGTCATTTGTGGCAGCTGACATAAATCATCCACATAGGTTCACACAGGCATTTTAAATGGCATTACTATTATCACTGAATTTGTCATTTTTTCAGGTCTTCTTTTTTATAGTCCTTCTCACATTCTCTCTGTAGAAATCCCCAAACTTTAGGAGGAAATTTATCTGTAGACTAGAAAATTCTCAAGGAAAACTAAAGGTCTGAATTATGGAACTCAAAGGGCACACAATCAGTCTCAGGAGCCATGTACTATGATTAGTGGCAATTTGGTATTTAAGCAAGAGGGGAAATTCAAAGGAAGAACCCAAAGGAGGTCATTTGGTCATCATGACTCATACTCAGCAGATTTGTTTTAATTGAATGACCAAAAAACGAGAGCCAGGGAGCCACAGATGGAAGCCAAGACTCTCCAGATAGCAAATATTCAAAAAGATGAAGAATTTGAAACTCTTCCAACAAGAATTATGCCAATGATCAAACAGGCTGTGAGGTATGAACATCTTCTCCCAGGGATATATAATCCTTTAAAAGAACTAAAAGTACTGGAAAGAAATTGCCTTGAAGGAGCGTCCCTTCCCCTCTTCTTGCTGGCCTTTTTTAAATGTTTCTGGAAACAAAGGTATTCAAGAAGCAGAGTCAAAATGCTCTTGGTTCTGGTATTCAAGAAAGGCCAAGGCCCCCTGCTTAAGGACTTGGAACATTACCCATATTCAGTGAGGTAAAGTTCCGGGATGAATCAGTGCCAGAGTCTGGGAAGCTCCCAGGAGAAGGAAGAAGTTGTGTTCCAAGGAAAACACAATGAAAAAAATCTCTCTTGAAGAGGGCAGGGACATAGTGTAAGTCATATTATGTGACTTGTCTGCTCCAGCCCCTACCACGTCTTCCCATTTCATGTGGAACAAAGCACAAGTCCTTATAGTGGCTACAATTCTCCCCCTTGCTTATCCCACTCCACACACTGGCTTCTCTTCTGTTCCACAAACATGCCAGACACACTCCTGTCTTAGGGCCTCTGCCCTGGCTCTTCTCTTTTTCCAGCAACCTCGCCTCTTTCAAGTCTTTCTTCAAATGTCACTTCTCCATGAGGTAGACACCGGCTATGCTATTTAAAGTTGCATCCTGTACTTCTTCTGGGCCAAGCACTACTGATCCTCTTTATCCTGATCCACTTTCTAGTCTTCAATACATTCATCAACTTCTAATATATTGTACAATTACTTATCATGTTTATTGTTTATAGTGTATTTCATTCCACCAGAATGTAAACTCTAATGTGCATAGATTTTGTCTGTCTTATTCACTGTTGTATGTTCAGTGCCATAGAACAGTATCTGGTGCACAGTAGACACTCAATGATAAATATTTATTGAATGAATGAATGATCCACTAGCCCCTGAGGTTATCAAATGAGAAAGCTCCATTTTGACCTGAAGGAGCTCTAAACTCCTTCACAAAATTGGGCTAACTCATTCTAGGGTGCAAAGATATCCACTGGAAGCAAAGCAAAGGCTTCTGAGGGGTCGGGCTGGAAGAACCCCAATTTGTCCTGATGGGGTTGAAAGAACTCACCTCATACTGGTGTGGTAATAGAGGGAGAAGGGTGGAGGGTGGGGAATACAATGGAAAACTGAACTTATAGAAGAGACAAACTAAAGCTCCTTAGGAACCAGACACATTTCAAGACATTGAGCTGGACGGGGAGCATGTCAAGGAGGGCCTGCTCTAGACTTAAACAGGAAGCATTCCAGCCCTAGCCGGTTTGGCTCAGTGGATAGAGCATTGGCCCACAGACTCAAGGGTCCTGGGTTCAATTCTGGCCAAGGGCATGTACCTTGGTTGCAGGACGGATCCCCAGCCCTGGTCAGGGCCCTTGTGGGAGGCAACCAATTGATGTGTCTCTCTCACATCGATATTTCTCTCTCCCTTCTACTCTCTAAAATTCAATGGAAGAATATCCTCAGGTGAGGATTAACATAGAAAATAAATAAAATACATTTTTTAAAAAGAGGCAGCATTCCAAACCCCTCCAGAGCTAGTAAGAGGGTGTTGTTCAATACACAGGGCACTAAGTCTGCCTTTGAATGGGAGGCAGGGGCTTGGAGACAGGTGGGCTTTGGGAGAACAAGAAAGATGAGTGGGATAAAAACACTCTGAACCAAGAGGGGTTGAAGGAGATGGAGGCAGATATGGAACAGATTACATAAGGCAGAGAAAGAGAGTGAGAGAGCCAGCACATGGTTCCATTTGGGGAGATAAGCCAAGATACCCTAAACCAGTGATGGCGAACCTATGACACGCGTGTCAGAGGTGACACGCAAACTCATTTTTTTGGTTGATTTTTCTTTGTTAAATGGCATTTAAATATATAAAATAAATATCAAAAATATAAATCTTTGTTTTACTATGGTTGCAAATATCAAAAAATTTCTATATGTGATATGGCACCAGAGTTAAGTTAGGGTTTTTCAAAATGCTGACACACCGAGCTCAAAAGGTTTGCCATCACTGCCCTAACCAGAGGTTAGCCCATAGAATTTAAATTCTTCACCTCTGTACACTCATTTCTTATCAACAAATCTATGCAAGGGGATATGTGGTTGGTATGTATGTGTGCATGTCATGGGAGTTTGAGGTAGGGGAGTGTGTATGGTATATACATGTATGCTTGTAAGCATGTGACATAGGTAGATATGGGTATGTGTGTAATGCATCATTTGTATGGTAATGTGGTGGCATGTTATGAGTATGTGTGCATGGTGTGTATTGTGCATGGTGTATGTATAGTTTGTGGTGGCATAGTGTGATTCTGTGGTGTGTGTGCACTATGTGAGGACATGGTATGTGTGTATGTGCTACATGGTTTGCATGGTGTGTGTTATGTGTGTATTAACTGGTGGCATGTTCAATGTGTGTTGTTTGTGTGGAATGGTATGGGGGTATATAGTCTGCATGTCGTGTGTGTGTGACTGTAGATGTGCTGTGCATGGGGTGTATATGTGGTATGTGGTGTGTGAGTGCTACATGATGGCATGGTATGTGAGATGTGTGTGTGTGGTATGTGGAGTGAATGGTATGTGCATATGGTGTATATGTGGTGTGTGGTGGCATGGTGGGGGTATGGTGTGTGTGAGCTGTGGTGGCATGATGTGTGTGGTATGTGGTGTGTATGGTGTAAGGAAAAGGAAAAGCCAATATGATTACCCCCATGTACAGATGATGGTGGCCCCCTGATACTCCTTTCTCTCTCTCACCTGCCCCCATCTATAGAGGGCATGAAGGGGTCACACACACCATGAGTAAAATCCACAATGGTAGGTTCCCTTCGTCAACCCACTGGCCAGGGATTTGGATTTTCTCCTTGGCTTTTTATTTTAGACAGGGTAGAGAGGTGAAAAACAATGTCTTGCTCACACTGTGTTTATCTCAGAGCATTCTTTTAATGGCATGTTTGGTTCTCATTGGTCACTTGGTCTGTACCACTGCACAGTAAATAAAAAATCAAGGGGTTTCAGTGAGATAAGTAGTGATGAGGAAGGTGAGAGGTGAGCTCTGGCAGGAGGCTCTTCTTTGTGTCTGCTCACATCAATGCAGAAGGCTAAGCCAGAGTGTGTGATGATGACCCCTGGGGTTCCAGAAGGGCTGGATCCTGAAGTCCTGGGTAGCTAGAAGCCCTGGCTAGGGCCACTGTTCTTGGAAGGGGTCATTTCTCAGTGCCAGGGAGGACCATGGTAGCCCTATGCCACTGGTAGGGAATGGGAAGGAATAGTGCTCAGCTCCTGCCAAGGCCCAGAAGGCCTCTGTTACCTGATGAGTTCTATGAACCTCTCCCTTGGGGCTTCACTCACGTCCTCCTCATTAATAGCCACAATCTGGTCACCAGCCAGGAGCTTGTCCTCAGAGGGGCCTCCTGCAGAGGAGAGGAGAGAGGCATGAGGGCTTGGGGCCACTGCTGGGAAAGCACAGGTCTAAGAGAGTCACCAGTGTCTGAGGAAGCTGAAGTGGGTACTGAGGTCTATAGGAGACAGCGTAGACTGAATGGTGGGGGTGCTCTTTGAGCTCTGTGCCACTGCTGCCTGTGGCAGATGGAGGGCAGAGGACTGAATAAAAAGAATGAAGTAGACCTCCTTTGGTTGGGAGTGGTATGATAGCAAAGGCCTCAGACTAAGTTAATGACTGCTCTCCTGGCTTGGTTCTAAAGAGTAACACAAGCTTTCACTTCACCAGGAGGCTTCTGCTCAGGCGCACGGAAAGACTTCCAGACTACTGAAGGTGGTACATGTGACAGGAGGAATCTCCTTACTTGAATATATTCATACTCACTGCTCTGTAATGATTTAGGCATTCACTTTCCTGGAGACAAGGGGATCCACTAAAAAAACCAAAGGGCTTATTTTCTTTCAACTCTAAGGGAAGCTCCTCTCCAATATATGAGGGGGAAAAGGCACAGACCTTACATCACGGGCAGTTGGAAATTGTTTTTTCTCATTCCCATTTCTATTGTTGAGGTTAAGAAAGCCGATCTGTTTGAGGGATGTGCTTTCTTGGTTGAGGTAAAGGGTGGGGGTAGAGGGATACAGGCTGTTGTTTAGCAAAAATCTTCTTGAAGAAAAGCTTTTCAGAGATTGAAGGAGAATGAGAAGTCAGGCACAGGCTCACTCAAACCTAAAATAAATGTTTAATGACATATCCCAATATCAAAACAGCCTGGACTTTTGTTTGTGTCCACTTAAAAGGACTAGATACCAACTGCTTCCTCTCTCTACAAAATAGTGTGCTATGCAAATTCCAAAAAACGTGAACAAAAAAACAAGCAACTATATCACTTGAGCACAGAGTTCAATGGCTCTGTAGCATGGAGCTTGTGTTCTGAGGGTGGCTATGCAGGCTCAGCCAGCAGGTTTCACCACTCCAACTACAATGGTACTCAAAGACTTCAGGAGCAGAGAAGCAGACTTTTCGGCCAGTCAGACCTGGACTCTAATCCCAATTGCCATTCACTGGTTGTGTGACCTTGGACTAGGCATTTAATCTCTCTCCGAATCTCTTTCCTCATCTGTAAAATGGGAAAATACCTGGACCTATAATACATTATAAGAGTGTTGGGAGGATAAATGAGATGACGAATATATAATACTTAAAACAGTTGATTGATGTTGGTAAGAATTTGATAAATGTCTATTATTATATCCTCCCAGGGACAGTTTCTGCAACTCATTTTATTCCTTTTATCTACCTTTACCACAAATGCCAATCTTTTAGGTGGAGGCCACTCTATCTACTCTCTCACTTCCTTTCTCCCTTTCTTTTAGTGGAAATGGTTCTTATGAAACTCAACTCTCTGATAGCAGTGGTAGATAGTATCAATCTTCTACTGCTTTCACAGAATGGTTTGTTGGTATGCTCAGCCATAATCATTTCTCTGTAGGATGCTTCTTGTCTTTTTCTAAATACCAAATAAGTCATCTGCATTTGGGAACCACCTAGTCCAGAAACAGCTCTGTGGATCAGCCCAAGTCTTCATTGGGCTGGGCCTGTCAGACCCATGGCTTTCTGTGGCTCTTGCCTGTGGTTTTCCTCTTTCCACTCCTCCAACCCTTCCTCCTTGAAGTGGGGGCTTCCTTCAGCCCTGTGAATTCTGTCTCATTTGAAGAGAAAGTAGGGGCTTGGGCTCCTGATGGTCTGTTACTAAGTCTTATGTGGTTCCTCTTACCCAGGACAAATTTGATTTCTGATCAGAAATTCATAAACCTCTTGTCAAACTCTATGACTGACTCAGGAGCCTGAGGTCAGCCACCAACTCCTGTACTGAATTGTTTTTTCTCTATGCCCTCTAGTTGAAGAGAGAGCTTACAAAAATCTTTTTTTGTTTTCCTTTGAGGATTGAAAAATTCATCAAATTTCTGCTAGACCAGTTTGTACTCTGGCTGCTCCTCTTGACTGAGCGAGAAACTGTTGTAAACATCTAAAGCCTCAGGCCCAGCAAATCAGGTACAAAGCTACTTTCTGTCTGTATTTTCTGTCAATGCCTAGCAGGTTTGGAACAAAACAGTGCTTAGGCCTTTTCCCATTTCATTCATGATGGTGTTTCACACTTCAGGTGGAGCTTTCCCTTGTTTCATCCCACATGGCCTCATTCAAGCCCTGCTTCCCCTGAGTGGTATCAGATAGGCTCAGGTGCAAATCCTGCCTCTGCTGTTTTTTTAGACAAGTGACCCTGGACAAGTCATTTCTCTTCCTTTCTGCCTCAATTTCCTCATTTACAAAATGAGAATGTTATTACTTACCTTGCAGGCTTGGTTGTGAGGATTAAACGAGATTATGTAAAACACACAGTAGGTGCTTAATCAATGGTAGCTGTTGTTATTGTTACTATGGCACCCAGAGATTTCATTCCCCTCCCCTCCCCTCCCCTCCCCCCTCCTCTCTCATCTCCCACCTATGATCTGTATTCTGATTCCAGTCTTCAATGACTGACCTAGTTCATGAGTGTGTACCAGTCTCCACAGCCAGATGGTTAGATTCTTGGGGATGGCAAATATGTCATGTACTTCCCTATAACCTTGCTGGACTTAGAGTAGGCAATCTATAAATACTTGTTGAATTGAAATTAAAATTTTCATCCAAGGCATGGCTCTTCTGTGAAGGTTCTATACAAATAAAAAGCTTTATTAAGACCCAGACCTTACTCAACCATCAACTGCAGCCTCTTCCTAGGGCCCCAAGCAGGCTGAAAGGCTTGTGCCAATCAGTCTTAAAAGACCAGCTCCCTTACACAGTGATTAGCTGGCAAGTCTTTACCCACTCTTCATTAATTCATTGGCAGCACATTGTACTCAGGAGCTCTGCTCTTTGGGAAGATATATGGGTGCTGGGGGATAGGAGCCCAGGCCAGGGGAGCACCCTGAGGGACACCTACCTGGCCTCACAGATCGCACCACCACAGGCCTCTCACTGCCGGCCACGAAGCCAAAGCCATATATAGGGTCTCGGTGAATGGTCACTTGTCGCAGTGTCTCTGCTGGCAGCTGCTCACATTCCATATCATTTGCGCTCTCTTCCTGCATCACATGACTAAGGGAAGGGGAACATGGGAGCAAAACAAGACGCAAAGGCAACTAAAGCTCAGAAGCAGCTGGGAAGGTCACTGATTAGGGTGCTGGCTATGGCACCTGGGAGTTCACAAACTTAGCTTCCTGCATCCTCTGGAACCAGCAGAGGCAATGAATGCCTCCTATTTCAGACTGGAAAAAGAGGACTCTAGAAAGGAGAAGCCATTTGTCTACATACAGGGCCAGAGTCAACAGAGGACACTGGTGCCACAGAGCCTGACATTAGGGTCAGTCCCTTCCTCAAGATATTGGGACTCTAGAAGGAGCCTAAATGGAAGGGTGTTTCAGTGGGGCCTTGACTTACGAGTTTAATTCATTCTGAGACCGAGCTCGTTAAGGAGCTCCTTAACTCAAATTACTCTATCAACTCAATGCAAAAAAATCAGCCGAGAGACAGCTGGTATCTCAAAAAACTAGTTAGTCAGGACACTCGTAAGTCAAGGCCCCACTGTATTCTGAAGGTTAATTGGTACTACTCATTGAATTGGCTGTTAGCTCTCTAAGAGAAACTGAAACTTTGAGAAAAGGGACTACAAAACAGGCAAGTAGGAAAGGACAGTGAAGTCATCTCAGAATGTGGAGTACCTGCATGAAGTCCTTGAGTGATTTTAACTTTAATATCCCTTAGGTCATATATAACAATAAACTATTTAGATGGCTTATATAAAGAAATGGGCTAACGTTCAGGACTACTGCCTTGTGCAATTGTACATAATACCAACTAATTTCAGTTAATGAAACAACTGGAAAATGGCTCCTGTGGGCAAGAAGGGGAGATGTGCCCTGTGGCTGCCGGCAGACCTGAACCTCAGATGGGTTGGGAGAAGAAATATTGCTGTCTCAGTACCGAGGAGGGGTTACAGATGGCTCTTTGATACCCACAACTTAAGTTACTAAAGCTTCAGAATGTACAAGAACGTTATAAAAGTTCCACAGCAAGGGCCAGGGTGAGGCATACTGCAGGCAAGGATAGGTCTGAGTGAAGTGTTCAAATGAAGATCCCTGAGGGGTGAGGGCACTGGGTGACAGTGGCAGGGAAAGAGGTAAAGAGGAGAATGAATGGCCAACAGGCAGGGCAGGGCAGGTGGAAGTGGAAGAGCCAAGAGACCCAGAGCCTGAGCTCCCTGAGTTGGCACCACTCTACCCTCCATCATTTTGGCCTAACAAATGGGTTGAGTTTCATAGCCTCAGGGTGTGTATTCTTGAAAATTAAGATTCCAGGCAGAGCCCTTCTGAACAAGATACAGAAGGCCAGGAGCTAATTAATCAAACTAGTGTACGGTTTGTAAAAGAAGTGGGAGGTTCAGATACTATGAGAGTGTTGACTAGCTAAGAATACCAAATTCCTCAATAGCAAATGGTTTCAAGCAATTAGGTCATTTATCAGGACATAAATTTGATAATTAGAGAGAAACTTTAGGACTATTTATGGGTGGGGGATTAAAAGTAATTGTATAAAAGTGAAATTCATAGTCCTGGGCTTGTTGTTCTCATAAAATAACTCGGGAATGAAGTCAGGCCATGGCTGATTTGAATCCAGCCACATTAACTTTATCTGAACACAAGTTGGCTTGGGATCTATCTGTCACTCCTTAAGGAGACAGAGGGGCTGCTGGGATGAGGTCAAGCCTCCTGAAGGTAAATTCAGAAACTGGCTCCTTTCCTCCCACACTGGTAAGATAAATCGTCACTTTTAAAGGTAAAGTCACTCAGAAGCTAGAACATGGCTGGCTGGTGTCCTGGATAGGCACCTTCCCAGGAGAGGGGTTCAGATAAGGTGGCTTCAAGGTGGTGTCTCTATCATTTCTGCTCCTGGTGGCAGGCAGGAGCTTGGCCTTGAAAGGAGCCAGAGAACATCTTCCTGCAGCTGCCGGTTTGCCTCACCCCCCCGGGGCTGCTTCTGAAATGAGCCCTTTGCCTCCTGTCATCTGACCTTATTGGCATAAAAAGGGCCTCTTCTTGGGATGACACCAGCTCATTTCTGACACAGGCACCAGCCAGGGCAGGCTGGAGGATGCGAGCCTCCCAGACCGTGCAGCCTGTGGCATGGGGAGCAGGGACACCAGCAAGGAGGATCCAGGCACACGTGGGAGTGCTCAATGCTGCCCTGAGCTCAGAGCCCTGGCCACTGCAGACTCAGTTTGTCTTTTTCTTTTTCTGAAACTGGGGGCACTCCAGTCTTCATTGGGCTTTTAGGTACCACTAATATTGATGAAAATAGATGCTCCTGGAGCCTGAGGAACCAGCTAAGAGCCTTCTGTGACACAAGTGTTCTGCTTTACTGTTTTGACTCATGTTAATGCATCAACAAGTATTTATTGAATTCCTACTCAGACAGTCAGAGCTCCAGGGGACACAAGAGAAGTTACAGAACTCAGCCATCAAAGACTTCTAGTGTAGTGGGGGTTGGGGGGGAGGGAGACAGGTACACTGAATAAGAGAATTAGAGTGGTTACTGAGAATAGTATATGAAGTCCAGCATTGAGATCCAAGTTGTATATTCAGAGAAGGGGGTGGAGTAATTAGAGAGGGCTCCATGGAACAGATACTGTGCTAAGACAGGAAAGGGAAGTGGTGGAAAGAGAAATAGGAACCAAGCTCTGTGCATGGGCAGCCCCTATATTCCCACAGTGGACCCAGCTATTTTTCCCGCAGACATGTTTCCAGATGTGACTGGAGCACATTTGTCCCTGGGTTGGACAAACTGTCCCTAACTAGATCTTCCCCAAATTCTGCAAGCAGCCTTCTCCTCACATAGCCTGGGCCTTCCAAGACAACTTAGGCAAAGAAACCGCCCCATTGACAGACCAGAAGGCCATTTTACAATGCAAATGGGAATTGTCCCTTCCCTCCTGGGGTTTGCATTTTTCTGTGTCTGCAGCTCAGTCCCTCTGAAATTTGCTAAGAGCCTAGAGACTTGGGAGTGACACTGAAGGCAAGCAATGATGGATGACAGGAGCTCAGCTGTCTACAGGTCACGTGGCTTACCTCTTGGGGGAAATAGGCAATGTGAATTTGAAAGATGTTTGGCTTGGTCCCTTCAAATAGGGCAACTCTGAACAAAATTATGAAGCAGTCAAAACTTACGGTCCCCCCACCCCACTCAGCATTGTTTCTGGGGCCTGCTAGTTTCTTCTGCTGTTTGTCTTAAAGCATACAATGCCTTCATTCTGTCCCCTTACTACCCAAGATCCCCAAAAGTATCCTCTCACCCTGTGCTAGGCTTACCCTCTCTAGTCAGTGACCCTGGTAAAGGCCTAGCATTTTTCTTTTGCCTAATGATAACTCTTTATAGCCATGTGGTTGTTTTCATTTTTACACCTATTACCTCATCTGGGAAAAGGTGCTTTCACATCCATTATCTCCTCACAATCTCTGTCCTACCAAATAGGCTACATGACTGCTTCTCCTCCATCTCAGCCCCCAAGGTAGGTGAGGAAGAAGTGACCCACGGAGGTGAAGCACATTAGCAGCTCAGCTGGAGCCAAATCTCTCAGATAAGGCCCACAATATCAAGACTCCCAGTTACACCCAAGTCAGGAGCATGGAATCTCTGTCTACTGAGTCTCCATTACAGGGCTGGCCAGGTCTGGATGGCCAGCCCACACCCTAATGAATCTGTCTCTGATACCGTTCACTCAGAATTGTTGGGGGAATAAAATGAGATCATGGCTACAGAACTTTGGAAGGTTAAACATATCATACAGATGCAGACATGGTGATATTACTGGTAGCATTATTCAGGGTGGCCAGAGGAGCAGAGAAAAAGAGCTCAAGATAAACTTCACCCACTTCATACGACCTAGGCCAGGGGTGGGCAAACTTTTTGACTCGAGGGCCACAATGGGTTCTTAAACTGGACCAGAGGGCCGGAACAAAAGCATGGATGGAGTGTTTGTGTGAACTAATATAAATTCAAAGTAAACATCATTACATAAAAGGGTACGGTCTTTTTTTTTTTTTTTTTGAGTTTTATTCATTTCAAATGAGCCAGATCTGGGCCGTAGTTTGCCCACGGCTGACCTAGGCCCTTCCTCCATCAACTTTGCCTCTAAGAGACAGCTCCACAATACTGTCCCCTTGCTGTCTAGGCAGCTCTTTCCCTGACCCAGCCTGGCTCCCTGTGGATGCCCTGCCTCCAGTTCCTCTGTGGGCTAAACTGATCCCTTCTCTAAACTGTCCAAAGAGGGACTGGTTGCTGGAGCTCACAGTGACTGTTGCTAGGCAGAATTTGGCTAAAGGACAAGTGAACTGAGAAGAAGATGGATTGGTTCTGAGCTGATGCTTTCTTTCTCCCTTGCTTGCACTTTTGGGCAGAAAAATAGAAAAGTAGCAGCTTAGACTCCCAGGCATCAGAATTAGTCTTTGGCTCCTTTTTCTTTACATTTGGTTGGCTCCTTGGGGAGTCTTGTCACTCCCCTCACAACTCGCAAGATTTGGAGCCACGTGGGACCAATTAGCCCTCTGATTCCAATCTCAGGAGCCTGACTCTCCCAGAAGCTCCAGGGATCCAGCATGGCAGCTGGAACCCCAGGAGATGCCATTTCCTCCTGGTGGCAGGGATGGGAGCCCCATCTCCCAGACTCTGAAGTAGTTGATCTGGGAGCCCTCTTGTAAGGAGCTTAAACACAAACTCTTTTTTTCTGTAAAACAGCCCTCACTTTGGCTAGATAGCTGCTCCTTACTGCAGCAGTGCTGCTCTAACTTGAATGTGCATATGAATCACATGTAGGTATTGCTAGAATGATTCTGATGCAGTAGGTCTGGAATAAGGTTTGAGTTTTTAACAAATTCCAGGGTGTTGCCCATTCTGTTAGCCCATAGACCACACTTTGAGAAGCAAGGATCTAAAAGAATGTTATTCTCGGATAATGAGAGAGCCATGATCAGGTGGCAGAACTGAGGTGCTTTTATTAAGGTTGGGTTTTGGCATTGCAGGCCTCATTAAACACAAATGCTAGC